CTTATTTTCCGGTTTAATTTGACCGGATTAGGACTTACATTAAACTTGCCCCAAGTTTATATACATAAATCCAGGGTGTAAAATATGAATTCCAATCCGAACTGAGCATTATGTACCAATGGAATCACCTATTAAATTCCTTTGAGTTCGTCATGCAGGAAGCAACATTGTTTGTTAGCTAGCTATATTTTTATAATGTTTGGGGTGGGGAGGGGGAGGGGGAGAAAGCTAGCCTTGAACTTAAATAATATTTTATACAGATAAAACCTTAGATTAAAACGAAAAGGGTAGACGCGGCACTCGCGGCTCCGCGATCCGCTTAAATTGTGTTGCAAGGCAATACAATTCACTTTAGTCAACAACACTTTACATTCGTACAACTGTAAAAAAAAATCTCAAAAATCTCGGTTTGTCGTGAATGTTATTTAAGTAATCGCCATTTTGTTGTCAAGAGTCTTTTTCTTGATGCGTGCTGTGCGGCCACGGACTCGCCGTTTCGCTCGCGCTGCGTTGAAGTGTAGTACTGTCTCGCTCGCTCGCTCGATTGAATGTTTATTTCAGACGTGTGCGTGTGTGAGAGTTGCTTATGTAGTTGAGCATTCGGTCGGAGCATTTTTTATTTGATGTTAGTAGGAGCGTAGTTTCCCTTTTTGTTTTAATCTAAGGATAACACTTTTATTTTAAGATGCTATAATAAGTTATCTAGTCAAGGTATCGCCATACTTGTTATTGATACACAACTAAATATCAATAAAATAATAAGATATCAAACATTCGGTGTCTCATTATATTATTATTAGTAAGTACTATATTTACATGGACTAATATTTGTATGATGTTTTTTTAAACATTCAAATCATTGAACAGCACGTCGGCCATATCTAGTATTGGCAGTACAGCATGTCTGAGGAATTAATTATACGATGGAGATTTTTTTCGCTAGCTGTTCGTGCTTGGAGTACAGATGCGAAGAGCCGCACTAACCTTTATTGCATATCTTTTCAGGTAATTTCATTACCATAGAATTTCCGTTAGAAGCCAATAGCGTAAGTATCCTTCTGTCTGACTTACAAATTCAGAAAAGTTACATATCTAAGTATTTTAGCTATGTATTATTTTATTCACTTAATGATAACCGATTTATAATAACAAATCGACGTATTTTTTCAGTTAAGTGAAAGTTGAAGTCTATATCTTGATGACCTGCAAACTTCTTTAACTAATTTTGTGGAGATTTATTTATATCTTGATGATGGCTTTTCATATGGAACCTCAAGCTTGCCCTCTGGACGAAAGTCAGCGCGCAGATTTTGCAAGCGTAGGGCCTCTCTCCAGTATGGATCCTATAATGTGCCTTAAAGCATTCCCTTCGGGCAAAACTCTTAGCACAAACGTCACACTCGAAAACCTTCAACTGATTATGGGTTATCATGTGGTCCTGTAAATTGGACTCCGTGTAAAACCCCTTTTTGCATACTGCGCAAATCTTGTTCTTTTCACTTAAGTGAACTTTTCTTTGATGGCGAATAAGCGCGCTTTCCATCAGAGTTCTTAAACCACAAATCCCACATGTCGGCATTGCTACACCATGAGCTTCGTTCAAATGAAACAAGTATCGCTTTCTGACGAACTTCAGCTTGCAATGCGAGCACTTTTTCTCGACGTGAACATCCATCACGTGTTCCGCTAGAGTATTCTTTCTCTTAAATTGTCTACTACAATAGTCGCAGACGAATTTGTCAGGTTTGATTTTCGCGTGTTCTGATAAAACGTGACATTTTCTCTGGCTGTGGTACATGAACGTTTCCGCACAATGTTTGCATTTGATAAACTTTTTCTTCAGATGAGTCCGAGTTATGTGGTAGCGGAGATCGCTTAAACGTCTATAAGCAATCTCGCAAGCTTTGCAAATGAATCTTTTGTTGTTATCTCCCGAAACTGACACGTATTCGCCAACGTCGTCACCTATAAATAGATAAAGAAGATCTCATTAGGGATGTTCTGCCTCTAGATCAGCACGTCGGTTCTGTAACATGCAATCTCACTTTCGATTTCGGTAATTCGAATTTTCGAATTCTCAAATAAGCAGCCAGTAATGTACTAAATGCTTCAACTGTAGTGTCGATTCTGGCATGATTATCTAATTCTAAACTTAAATTTGGGAAAAGGAGAACTGATGTTAAAGGAGATTGCTCAAATTGGCCTAAATGCACAAAAAATATTGACATACACGGTAATTCTTGGCGTAATTTATAATTTAATTTACAGTCATTAGATTTCAACGGACACCTTTGTATAATATATTTAATTTAAAAAGGACTTTTAATTTTACCGGTTTGGAAAACATACGAATCATTTTTAATGGCTATAGGTGTAGTAACATTCAACCAAAGACTGATCGAAGTTGTTTATACTATAACATAAAAACAAATCTATTTTGTAAAGATGGATAAAATAAATCATTTTTTTTATTACACTGTGGTATTAATATCCACAACTTTATTATCATTTTCACTAGATGCAAATGTGCTTAGACAATTATTATAGATGGTAGGCGACATCATAAAGTCTATTGCCATACATTTTTCGCCAAACACCTCCATAGACACATTATAATCTGTAATATGTTAGACTTTAAGGTATTTATCTATGGGCCTACGTTCCCTGACTATAAATTAATGGTAAAAAATAAATAAAATTATAAGGTGTGATACCCTAAACATCTAAAATATGGTTAAGTATCTTTAAAACATAACAAAAATAATGAAGCTACTGAATATATGGCTATAGAATCTTAACCTCTTAGCTTTCTTTGGTTAACGAGAATTTAAAAATTCTCTCTAATCTGTGGCTCGTTCACAATCAACACACAGTTTCTGTCACAGAGTACCTTATTATAACCGCAAATGCATAGATGACACCTGATTTTTATAAGTTACTCTTATGCATTAACTTTAAAAACAGGCAACTATCTGTTAATCTACATCTTCTATATACCTGAATCTAATCCATAATTTCGGTACTTGGCTTGATTTCTCTAGTTTACTATATAACTTATTTGTTTTTTATTATTTTAATATGTTCAGTGTACATGGTTTATAGAAGTTCTCAAGGGTGTCCGTCAAAAATATACGTTTCTACAGTAATTTATATATAATTTCGAATCTAGGAAACAATTTTTCATGATTATTGGTCTTTAGGCCAAACATGTATGGAAGCTGAGCAATCTCCTTTAGTTTAAAGTTAAGAGAATCAAGCCAGAATCGACACCAGTAACGGCCTGCGCAAACAGTTTTGAATAGTAAAAAGAGGTTGCATTCTTATTAAAATGAACTATATGAGAAAGAAAAAGGTTTTAAAATTCAATTCAAAATTCAAATTCAATATCGTTTATTCAGTCTAGGCTGTTACAAGCACTTGTGAATATCGAAAAGCTACGCCATCGGTTCGCAAATCTACGGCGGGAGACCTTGTATTGAGAACAACCGGCAAGAAACTCAGCAAGGGCTGTTTTTTTCTCCCTGTATTGTATACAGAGTCGTCAAATTGAAAAATGACTTCAATATGAGGTAACTCATAAATTTTTAGAATACTGGGTCCATCCCCTTATATCGGATCGAGCGCGCAACGAAAACCACTATACGCTACTTTTTTTTATTTAGTGTGTATGCTGTTGGTCGCAGATGACCTTTACAGCGTCACCGGGTTTGGGGACGGCGAGATCCTAAGAGGACCTCAAGCCGTGAATTGGCGAGTGCTTTTAGAGTATTCCAGGCGGATGGCATCTCCCCACAGGGGGAGTCTCTGGAGCCTCTAGACCACTCGAACCTGAGGGAGTCGGCTCTACTAGAGGGCGTCTGAGACTCGGACCGCGGCTCTAGTTAGCGGTTGTCGTGGAAGGGCGGGACACCCGCGTACTTTTGTCCTGTTTGGTCTCCCAGTGTTCTCGGTTGTTCGGGGGACACTGTTTACGCAGAATTTTAATTCGTCGTGTCATCTTGTGCTTTACTCGATGCAGTTGTAAGCGATCTATTATGGTGAACAAAAACTACCCGCGTCTGCGCAGGCCATAATTGCGACATATTGCCGTGTAATATCGTAATGCATATTTTACTTATGTCTAAAATTGGAGATATTGAACTGAGAAGTGAGGTGTCATTTTACAGAATTGCCCTACAGGTTATATTTAAAGCCTTACATTACGATTATGCTTTAAATTTTCTCAAATCACATTCCGTCAAGATATACGTCTTTTCAATTTCAAGTCAGTATATAAAAGTACACTAGTAGGTACTACAGATAGGAAAATTATATCACCCAGAAATAATAATCCTACTTACATTATAAATATAAAAGTTTGTATGTTACTCAATCACGAAAAAATTTTGGAAAAATAAAATCCTACCCTAAGGGTGCGGAAACAGGGGTGATTGTTCACTCACAGATTTTGATGCCAAGTTGTAGGTAATAACCACAAACAATAATAATATAAAACCTTTTTTAGCACAAAAAAAATTACCGCCGAAAAAACTTAAAAGTATAAAATAATAAACCTTTTTATCTTTAGTCAAATTAATATTTGCAGTCGGTGTCATTCCAACCCAAGTAGTAAATGGGAACTCAGATCTATCAGACATACATGGCACTGCCTCCAAATATTAATTTGACTAAAGATAAAAAAGTACTTTTCAGTTTTTGTAGGTTTAATTTTATTGCAAAAAAATTATAATACGCCATATTTATTTTGCATGTATAAATAAAACAGTAGATCGGTAAAATATTTTTTACTGACTGACTTAACAAAAGCGTTATATCCCATAACTTTGGTACCTAAATATTGATGACCATTTTTTATATTACATTATTTATAGATAATAAGCAAAGTTGTGTACTGTTAAACAAGTTTACTGTACAACTAAATTCGAAATGTAGTAACTTCCGAATGGAATACCACAGGGTGCACCCTGGGTACCTAACAATAGATGGTATAGAATTAAATAACAAGACAATTATAAAAACAAACTTCTATATTAATAACAAACTTATTTTTCTAATAATTATTATAATAAACATAAATCACACGTTTCTACATCTTTCATACGACATACACGAATTGAATAACGAAAAACAATACAGAATATATTTTTATTGCTATTATAACAAACTTAACAATGAAACTCCGCGTGTTTCTTCGTCATATGGTATTTTAGACTCGACTGCTGCACAAACGCCTCTTCGCATATCTCACAGACGTGCGGGCGTTCATCTAGATGTATCATTACATGTGTTTTCAGATTCTTCTTCCATTTGAATGATTTGTCGCAGTAATCGCATTTGTAAGGTCTCTTCGGCGAGTGCTTGTCTGAGTGGCGCTTTAATTGAAATCTTGTCTCGCATTTTACATCGCATATCGGACACTGGAACAACTTTTCGGCCATATGGTAAGCTCTGTGGTGTCGTAGCACCTGGAACGTGCATTTTAAAACTAAGTATTGTTGGATGGTTTTGCAACTGGTTTATTGGTTTTTATTTTAACTTAAAAACTGATTATTTTTTAATTTACAATGTTTTCTTTTTAATAAGAACTGAAGAAACTCTTTTAAAGCAATTCATAAAGTCTACTTTGTTCACAAGTTCAGCTCTTGAGCAATGTTTCATCTGAGACTTATCATCAGTCTATTACTGCCCGCACTACTGGGGCACAGGTCTTCCCTATAAAGGGATTAGGAAGATTGGGCCATAACCTATCACGCGGACCCATTGCGGTTTGGTGGAGGGTGGCTGCTACCGTAGGTACTCGTGCAGTTTGCGGGTGTTAACGATTGCAGATGCAGCCGAGACCAACTGTTTAACGTGACTTCTATAAAGAAATAGTAAATTATTGGTCCTATAACCGGCCCTTGCGAAAGTAACTTCAGTTCCACGATCGCAGATCACTAACAACTTTTTGAAGTGAAACTTCTTTACGGATAGGGTGCAAATGGAAAAATCCTATGGAAAATATGAAACGGAAATGCGTCATGAGCGTCACACGACTATATATATTATAGCTTTTCCCTATGAGCATGAAAGTTGGAGGGGAAATCGGCGAGGGCTGGAACGCTACGAGCGTCACACGCGACAATAAATATATATTTATACATATTATTAGTGTTATAATAAATAACAACTCTGCAGAGGTTCACTATTTTATTGAATAACCAACTAGGACAACGATCGCAGCAAAAGTTACTCAAACCAAGGTGGCGCGCTTTTTTATAACTCTCCACCTCGACACATTTGTCACTTTACATAGATTATCGTCTTTATGCAGCTTGTCTATGAACGGTATCATAGCCAATACTTCAAAAAGACGTGCACACAACATCTCATAAGATTCGCAAAGCCAATGTCACCAAACAGCCAACAAGGCATACAGCCTACGTTTATGCAACCACCTTGAATACGAATGATCAATCGACATTACATCGATTAATCATTCAGATATCAAACTCCGCTACACCGGAAGTGTTTCGGAGTACTGACAAGTCATATTTAAATTATAGAAAATGGCAACATTGGCATAAAGTCACATACGGAATGTCATGTCATCAAAACATACTAGCGTTAGAAAAATAACATGTTTTGCTTAACTAGAGTTTAATAATTATTACTAACAATATATATGAGTGATGCGTGCGCTTGCTCCATTCCCCTATGCCTTATACACCGCCCAATGTAAGGTTATTTAAGAAAAGAAGTTTCACTTAGATGTGTGGTCTATGCACACATTTTTTTCCTGGTAAAATGGTGGCGATCCAGCGTATGGCTTGCCTGTTGGTAAGCGTCCACCATAATCTTCAGACGCTTAATTGCGATACCAAAAATGTGAAGCGCACCGTTGCCTAATTTGACATATTCCCCTACCCCGTGAAGCCTTAAACTTGCACTATCGATCTGCTAGTTAAGATTATTTCAAGTTAAGATACCGCGTACCTGATTAGGGAACGAGAACTTTTTACCGCAAGCATTGCAAGTCGGCCTCGGAACTCCGTGGGCTTCTTCCAAGTGCTTAGACCTCGAATCCGTCGGCACCTTGACTGGGCATAAGTAGCAGGAGCGAAGTTTCGGCCTCAGTTTCAAGTGTACATGCTTGTAGTGCTGGCTGAACAGATCGCGAGCATTGAACACTTTCTGGCATATTGTGCATTGGTATCTTTTGCGGCCACCCTCTTCTAACGTGACAAAGGGAGTGTGTAGTGCGTCCCCTAGAAGAGAAATTGTCTAGTTATTATTTTTCTTCTGAGCCCAATCAGTTAGCGCGGTCGACGGCGATCGTTGAAGTTAAGCAACTTTCGCAGTAGATGGGTGACAAATAAGTTACTATCTTGAGCTTCATCGTGCTTCGGAAGGCGGGTTAAGCTGTTGGTCCCGACTGCATATCGCAGTCGTTAGCACCCAACAATCAGCACTGGGTCCGCGTAGTGCGTTATGCATGACCCAAACTCCCTATTCCATACATAGGGACAGCCTGTGCCCCAGTAGTGGGGACATCAATAGGCTGATGATGATGATGAATATTGGTCTTTGTTTTTACCTACTAAGAAATAAAAATCTGTGCACGGACTACACATGTGAAGTGAAACTTCTTTCTTAAATAAACATTAAGCGGTGCATAAGGCATAGGGGAATGGAGCACGCATCAGTCATATATATGTGTATATATATATATATATCGTCGAGAAACTTTCAACAAATGAAATTATTAATGAGAAAATAGAAATATTTAAATATTAAACTAAAACTAGACAAAACTTAAAACTATATTAGATACCCGGGTTTTTTTTCAATTTAGTGTGTATGCTGTTGGTCGCAGATGACCTTTACAGATTCACCGGGTTTGGGGACGGCGAGATCCTAAGAGGACCACAAGCTGAAAATTGGCGAGTGCCTCTAGAAGTATTCCAGGCGGATGGCATCTCCCCGTGAGGAGCATCTAGACCACCTGTCGGTCGGCTCTACTAGAGGGCGTCTGAGACTCGGACCTCGGCTCTAGTTAGCCGTTATCGTGGGGGGGGGGGGGGGGGGGGGGACTTTTAATTCCTCGTGTCATCTTGTGCGTTACTCGATGCAGTTGTAAACGATCTATTTTTGTGAACAAAAACGGCCCCTTGTCTGCGCAGGCCATAATTGCGACATATTACCGTGTAATATCGTAATGCATATTTTACATATGTTTAAAATTGGTGTTATCGAACTGAGAAGTGACATGTTATTTTACAGAATCGCTCTTCAGGGTATATTTAAAGCCGTAAGGCTTTATTACGATTTTGCTCAAAATTTTCTCAAATCACATTCCGTCAAGACATACGTCTTTTCAATTTCAAGTCAGTATATAAAAGTACACTACTTAGTAGGTACTACAGATAGAAAAATTATATCACCCAGAAATAATAATCCTACTTATATTATAAATATAAAAGTTTGTATGTTTGTTACTCAATCATGAAAAAACTACTGAACGGATTTGGATGAAATTTGTTACAAAATTTTGGAAAAATAAAATCCTATCCTAAGGGTGGGGAAACAGTAGTGATTGTTCACTCACAGATTTTCATGCCAAGTTGTAGGTATATTACAATAATTAAAACTACAAACAATAATAAAATAAAAAACTTTTTAGCAAAAAAAATTTTGCCTCCGAACAAACTTAAAAGTATAAAATAATAAACCTTTAGTCAAATTAATATTTGCAGTCGGTGTCATGCCAACCCAAGTAGTAAATGGGAACTCAGATCTATCAGACATGCAAGAAACCGACTCCAAATAATTATTAATTTGATTAGAGATAAAAAAGGTTCATTATTTCCTGGTTTTAAGTTTTTCTCGGTTTAATTTTTTGCTAAAAAAATTTTCAGTGCATTCGCGAGGATTGCGAAGGGTGCGGGTTCGAGTCCCGTCCGCTGCCTGGTCCGCGTGGATTTTTTTCTAGTAAAACTTTTCTTTACATTTAAACATCTAGCAGTTAAATCTTAAAAATAAATAAAAACATAACTATAACTGCTATTTCTTCTTTCGAATGTTTAATACTTGAAAAAGTATTCATTTGATATTGTGGGTTACCTACAATGCGAAGAGATGGCGCTGCCTTGCAGCTTAAGGCTAGGAAAATTTCGACGAGGCCATCAGGGCCGTGGTAGTAGAATTGGTCAGTGCATGCCCGGATTGCGAAGGGTGCGGGTTTGAGTCCCGTCCGCTGCCTGGTCCGCGTGGATTTTTTTTCTAGTAAAACTTTTCTTTAGATTTAAACATCTAGCAGTTAAATGCTTAAAAATAAATAAAAACATAAAAAAAATTATACGTCATAATTTTTTTGCATGTATAAATAAAACGGTAGATCTGTAAAATATTTTTACTGACTTAACAAAAGCGTTATATTGCATGACCTTGGTACCTAAATATTGATGACCATGCTTTATATTAGATTATTTATAGATAATAAGCATACTTGTGTACTGTTAAACAAGTTTACTGCACAACTAAATTCGAAATGAAGTAACTTCCGAATGGAATACCACAGGGTGCAACCTGAGTACCTAACAATCGATGGTATAAATAACAAGACAATAGGGAAGATGCAAATATAATATTTATGAAAATTTTATGACTAAAATGTTAAAAAAATATAAAAGAAAGGCCACTGCAACGTTTTTATTTTACATAATGTTGTTTTTTAACAATAATTACGAATTAAAAATGACTTAAAAAAAATGTATTTTAAAACACCAATCAGCGTTTAGTGACGTCACTCCTGTTATGACAACTTATTTGAGGTTATGGTTGTAAAAGTGAATATTATTTTACGGGAATATTAATTGTGTTTTTTAATAAAAATGGACGTTGGGTTTATCAAAGCAGACTCCAGGAATTTACCAAGAGTTAGTGTTGACATAGTTGTAACTTTTTTTGTCCTACGGGACCTAAGGGACTAAATTACTACGGTATGTATAAATCATCATATATTCATCATCATCATATAAATAATCATTGTTAAACTCTGTATTTTATTCAGCGGCTTCTATACATACCACTTATTTCAGCTCAACAAGAGAATCTTACGGCGATATCGCAATCGGCTATGTCCAAATTAAAAGAGATGGAGAATTATGTACAGTAAAAAGTCGAGTTACTCCGGAGCATAAAGTACGTAAAGAAGGTTATCGTGTTACAGTTATTATAAATGAAACGCGAAGCTTGGTTCAGTCCTGCCAATGTGAAGATTGTGCCACACATTTTAAACTTTATCCAATTTTCACGTCATTCTCCAAGTGTAAAATTAAAAATATGTTATAGACAGGTTTTGTAAGTATAAGGTAGGTTACTAACGCGATTTTACGTACAAGCAGATTAATTAAGCATATAACAAGTATATTCGCCAACTTACGTCAAAGTGATCTTCACATCATCGAAAAATGGTCTATGGAGAATAATTTTCATTTCTCTTCGCAGCTTGAAACACCTTTTTTGGGCCCCAAAGTTTTGGGTCAATTAAATTAATTCAATCAAAAGTCAGAAACAACTTATTTGTTAAAGAAGATGGACACATTGGCACAAAATATGAGTCAACACGGCTTTTTTTCGGAATATTAGTGGTATTGTTATGATCACCTGATGTTGATGGATAGTCCATTTTAAATTTTTGCATAAAAATATATCGAACTTCGAAAAAATATGTAAAAGTATGAAAGCCAGCGACGAACAAGTACGACCAGTGACAGACAGGAGTGACGTCATCGGAACCATAGGTCCGTTTTCGCGCGAAAATTTAAACTGTCAATTTAAAACCGCATTTTTTCCGATAAATTACAATGTTTTAATTTTTTAATATATCTGTGGTTTATTCTACATGGAATTCTTTAAAATACAAACAAAAATAAAAATATTGCATCTTCCCTATTATAAAAACAAACTTCTATATTAATAACAAACTTACTTTTTCTAATAATTATTATAATAAACATAAAACACACGTTTCTACATCTTTCATACGACATACACGAATTGAATAACGAAAAACAATACAGAATATATTTTTATTGCTATTATAACAAACTTAACAATGAAACTCCGCGTGTTTCTTCGTCATATGGTATTTTAGACTCGACTGCTGCACAAACGCCTCTTCGCATATCTCACAGACGTGCGGGCGTTCATCTAGATGTATCATTAAATGTGTTTTCAGATTATTCTTCCATTTGAATGATTTATCGCAGTAATCGCATTTGTAAGGTCTCTTCGGCGAGTGTTTCTCTGAGTGGCGCTTTAAATGAAATCTTGTCTCGCATTTTACATCGCATATCGGACACTGGAACAACTTTTCGGCCATATGGTAAGCTCTGTGGTGTCGTAGCACCTGGAACGTGCATTTTACAACTAAGTATTGTTGGATGGTTTTGCAACTGATTTATTGGTTATTATTTTAACTTAAAAACTGTTTATTTTTTAATTTAAAATGTTTTCTTTTTAATAAACACTGAACTAACTCTTTTAAAGCAATTCATAAAGTCTACTTTGTTTACAAGTTCAGCTCTTGAGCAATGTTTCATCTCGGACTCATCATCAGTCTATTACTGTCCACACTACTGGGGCTCAGATCTTCCCTTTCAAGGGATTAGGAAGATTGGGCCATAACCTATCACGCGGGCCCATTGCTGTTTGGTGGAGGTGGGCTGCTACCGTAGGTACTCGTGCAGTTTGAGGCTCTTTACGATTGCAGATGCAACCGAGACCTACTGCTTAACGTGCCTTCTTTAAAGAGAGTAAATTACTGGTCCTATAACCGGCCCTTGCGAAAGTAACTTAACTTCCACGATCGCAGGTCACTAACAACTTTTTGAAGTGAAACTTCTTTACGGGCGGGGTGCAAATGGAAAAATCCTATGGAAAAGATGAAACAGAAATGCGTCATAAGCGTCACACGACTATATATATTATAGCTTCCTTCCCTACAAGCATGAAAGTTGGAGGGCAAATCGGCGAAGGCTGAAACGCTACTAGCGTCACAGGGGACAATAAATATATATTTACATATATATATATGTAATTATATTAGCTATTATAATTATACTAGCTGACCCAGCGAACTACGTACCGCCCTAAAAAAATAGGGGTTGTCCAGCGGACAAAATTGTGAATATAACCATTCTCAGATCCCCTTGAACACACACAAAAAATTTCATCAAAATCGGTCCAGTCGTTTAAGAGAAGT